AAGGCCAACCACGGAGTGCGGCCAACGCATTGGCAGAAGTCCTTCAATACTAAGAGAGACTGGCGCAGCGGAGACAAAATTTCAAGCAAGCGCGTTTAGAGTGCGAAGGACAGCCAGGGGAGAAGGGGACGGCACGACCGACAAGAGGAGGACGAAGAGGACAAGCGGGGGAGGGCACGGCCCCCGTTTGCTGAGGTGCGAAAGCGCCTCCCCCCCTGCACTGAGATACACGGTGAGGTGCGAAAGCACAGGGACTGGCACAGCGAAGCGGGAAGATGTGCTAAATCACCCGAACCAGCACGGCGGACCCCTAGGAGCGAAAACGTCCCCACCTCGCATTGAGAAGCAAGATGAGATTCCAAAGTACACGGACAGGCACTGCGGAGGCAGAGTTTCAATCGCAGTTAGAGAGGGAAAGGGCCGCGGGCGGAGAAGGGGACGAGGCGACCGACGTGAGAGGACGAGGAGGACAAAAACGGGTGAGGACGCAGACTCCAAATCTTGAGGTGCGAGGGCGAAATTACACCCACCTCGAACTGAAAAGTAAGATAAAATGCGAAATCACGAGGGCATACACTGCGAAAGGCAGAGTTTCAGAGCTGACCGGCTGAGTTCCCGGATCCGGGAGTGGCCCGATAGCATAGGTCAGTGGGAAAGTTTTGAGCAGGACCGTGAGGGAACGCTTCGTCGGAAGCTTGAGGAGCGAAAACACCCCACCACGCGAAGCAAGATGAGAAGCGAAATTGCAGGAACAGGCACTGCGCAGGCGGAGAGCCAAGCGCGCTTAGAGGAGAAAGGGCAGCGGGGGGAAGGAGACGACGCGACCGACGGGAGGAGGACGAGGAGGACAAGAGGGGGGAGGACACAGACCCAAGTCCTGAGGTGCCCGAGCGCGCCCACCTCGCACAGAGAAGCAAGGTGAGGTGCGAAAACACAGTGGCTGGCACTGCAAAGCGTGACAGCGTTTGAAGCGCGCTTAGAGGGGGAAGAGCAGCGGGGGAAAAGGGGAACGACGCGACCGACGGTCAGAAGGACGAACAAGACGAGAGGGAGGAGGACACAGTCCCAAACCCTTCAGGAGCGAACTCACACCCACCTCGCAC